TATATATATATATATATATATATATATATCAATTATATGTCTAAATTACATTAATTTTTAAATAAATTATATAAATATTATGATACATAAAATTTTTTGAAGTAATGAAAAATTATTTTTCATGAACATTTGTCTTAGAAGCAATTATTATCTTGATTAATAGTTTTCTAAAACTATGCAAGAAGCAGAAACACAAGCAAAGAATAACAATTGTGTGACACAATAAATAAACGAAATTCTATAAAGTTCCTATTTAAATTATTTCTTAAGGGACTATAAATTACAACCTGTCGGATTCTAATTTTTTAAAAAAAATATTTACAACAAAATAAAGAAAAAATTTAAAAATATAATTTACTTTATCGCTGTGAAGTATACGTCAATACCAATATATATTGACCGACCGTCAATCAAAATTCAACAGTTATATTCTGCCTTCCCTTAAAATTATCACTCGTAAAATATTTGCAGCATCCTACGTAAGTGTTTCTATATATCTTAATTGTATTTATTTGCAATCTTTCATTTGTCTAACACGACGAAATATTTTATAGAAAAATGACAAACTGGTTATTATTGATAGTGTGTCTTGGCATAGCTTGTCAAGGTATCACAGGCGCTGTTGTTCGAGAAAATTCCTCGAGAAAAAACTTGACAAATTCGATGAACGTGATTTACGAATGGAAGTATCTTGAATATGACTTCAGTAACGCGATTCAATCTGACGAATATGACCACACAAAAAATTATCCTTTCGATATCGATCAATGGCATGGTAAAATATTCGCATTTCATTTAATATTACATTTTATTTATCAAATCAATTTAATATTCAATTATTTTTGTCATTCAAATTTTTTTATTTTTGTATCGTTAAAAAATATCAAATGTTTTGCATTTCTTCAAGATAAGATTTTTGTCGCCGTACCAAGATTTAAAGGTGTACCTTCCTCTTTAAATATGATATCTGACAAAACTGGCAACGGTGGACGCCTTCTACAACCGTATCCTGATTGGTCGTGGGCGAACTATAAAGATTGCTCTGGAATCGTGAGCACTTACAAAATTGCGGTAATTGAAACTTTTTCTATGAATATTTTCAG